TTGCAAACGCATGCTGGAAATAGCTACTATTCTGGGGTTTATGCATAATTTATCTTTCTTTTGAGTGTCATTTAAGATCTAGATGGAAAACTCTAAGTGTCAAACCATGTAGACAACATTCATAATAGAATCCCAACCCATGACACCTGCAGGTATCTCTGCTACAAATAACCTTCTGTAACAGATATTCATTAAATACAGTATTTGTTTTACAACTTCAAGCCATGCTGACAACATAGACAGATTACTACAACATGGAAAGAGTTTTCATTCAGTCAACTGGTGACTAAATCTATGTCATAATTTAAGTATTAATTGATAAATCCAAGCATACAAAAAGGTGCTTAACTACATAGCATTTAAATAAAAAAATACTGCATCTTTCAGACATTGCTAAGAACCAATAGAAAATTAACTATCTTTAAAATTCAAGTTGGAAGTTACTGAAGGTCACTTAAAATAACTGATTAAACAAAAGTGAGCGTAAGCCACATACCTAGGGTAGGATGAGGCACAAGCATAGAAAATGCAAAAATGTTTTGGAGTCACAATAATAGACCATGTGGGAAGAAAAAGCTTAAAAGTTTTTTCCTATCATACTATTTTTTCCACCTAACCCCTTTCCTTTGCATTGTGCACGTTGTGAAAACAATGACAAATTATTAGTTCTAACTTCTGTCTTTAAATCACCATGATTTCAGTGTCAAGCTCTCGCCTCTCATTAAAATATATACAGTCTATACATCATTCAGTTCCCTCTCGCTTTAAATATACTGTACAAGCCTACAGAGCTTCTGTAACACTTCTGTGTGAGCTTTGTCCTTTGTCACTGGATTGGTTCTACATAGTTCGCTGGGTATAAACCGACTTGTCCATTGTCCAGGCGTCCTTTGCACCAACCCTGCTCATCTTCATTCTCCATTTTAGTTAACTCATCCCCTGATAAAAGAAGGGACACTGTTAGCAAGCTGTATCCTTTTAGGTAACACCAGGAAGACAAAAAGACAGTTACCTACACAACCCCTTTTCTTCCCCCATCCACCCCAGGCCCCAGCAGAATCTCTCCCTTCTTTGCTCTTCATGCTTTTGATACAAAGAACACCACTTGCAGGTTTACATATGGGATGAAAGGGCCCAATGTCAAGAAAACAGGAAGCAGCAAACTACTCCAAAATGAAAATATTACACTGATTGCATTTCAAAAAGGTCATAGCATTTTTAAAGCAGAGTGAAGAATGCAAACTTCTGAAGATAAACACAGTGTTACTTCACTGTAATATCACAGACTCCCTTACACCCACAGGGAGTGATCAAAGGCAGCTGTGGATAGTACCACAAGCTCCAACAAGCAGAATAAACCTACATTTATGGCCCTCAGCAAAACGTCAGTGCAAGTGCAGCAGGCTTACAGTCAGTATATCTCTTCTAAGGGTTTGTGGAAGATAAGGGGGAAAATGCTACAGAAAGTTAAGACATGACTAAAATTCTCTGGAATTATCCTTGCAGCTTTTCAGTACACCACTGCTGGGCTGTGACACAGGAAGATTGGGAGGAATCCCCCACCTCGCACTTTGTTACACGTCTCTCTCCTTTCCTCATCTTCTTAAGAAACATAAGGGCTGGGATTTAACTTCCCCTTTCACTGCTCTGGTTCTATGTTGTCAGAAGCTGATGTACAGTTGTAGCTCCAGAGAAACTAACTCCGAATTTGCTCCCTAACTTACAGAGCAAAAGCTGACACCGACTATTTGTTCAGACACTTATGAACTGTAACACCAGCTCACTGTGACTCTCATGCACACCTCATCTTCTACACTCGCAGGAAACACTTTGGCATTAGAGTCCACTGACTCTGAGATGCTGCAAATGAGCGTCCACCTCAGCCAGGCAGAGAAAAGACACACCAAGTAACAATTACCTCACGTGCAACTTATGTGCCACATTATTTCCCCAGATAAAACTGATTTGTGCTTCACCTCAGCAGCAGGAAAAACACGCTGAAGATATTAACCACTTCACATGGTCCCAGATGGTCATAAACAGGCAGGCTTGGCATCGTTCAGGGGAACGTGCACTGCCTAGGGACCATAAATGCTCGGGCAGAAATGGACAAGCTTCGTATTAAATCTACACAAGACACCCACCTTCTACAGCTCCTCCCTTAGATAAGAACGGTTAAAGCCTCATCTCCCCTCGTTTGTGAGCTTACCAGATTACAAATAAAAGAACACTATGAACAAGTGTTTGGCACTGCAGACTGTGCTTGGCTTATGGAGACATCTTACAATTTTTTCCACCATTTCTAGTGCTGTGGAATGTGAGGGTGCATGATCCCAACCCTCCCTGCCACTTCTATGGAGTGTATTTTAATAAAGAGTGAAAACAACGACTATTGAAGCCACACTGCATTAGCTGTAAGCCCCAAAGCAGACACACTTGTATGAACAGCTAGGACCTGGAAACTCAGTGATCTTAGAGATCTACGAAAATATTGCCACTGCCGTGTCCTCTGCACAACAGTTACACAAACCAGTCTGACAGCTGGGGTAAAGGCAGCATAGCAACAACACGTCTGGACAACACTGCACAGTCCACATGTACTGCAGGTGTTTGCTCCCAGCCCCGGCACAGAGGCAGGGGGTGAGATGTATGGTAGGTGGTTACATCCCATCCTGTTACATGACCATAAAACTTCTCATAAGATAGGAATAGGCAGAGTTATTCCTCCTCTTTGGAAGCCTCCCGCAGTTGTTTGCCAAGAAAAAAAAACCCACAGCAGATGTAGAAAGTATTCCACTAATAAAAAGGAATTTCGTGTACTGAAGTGCACTTAATGGACACTGCAGAGCATTTATTCTACAGAACGTACCTAGGAGTGATCACAAAGCTTTGTAGGCAAATTCCTCGAAGAGCCAAGGAAATCCCACCTGAGAATGTCTGTGTACATTTAAACTGATCCCTAAATGTGTTAATCCTCTAATGACAGCTGCTGAGGAGCCTAGGTGCAGTCTGCATGGGAGCAAGCACATTTAAATTGGCTCCTGCATGACCTGGTGGATTTCTTCCTTAGTGTTTTGTATGTTCAGTGTAAACTTCATCACACTAATACTTCTGCCTAAAAATTAAGTTTGACTGCAGGCATTCTATAATTCAGCTTCTGTAAGGGGATCAACCCTTTCCTGTGCACGACACAACCGTGTAGTTTGGTGTTACAACACACTCTCATGCTCTTCCTTCAAAGGTATTAAGCTATTTTTAAGCTAAGCCTACATATGTCTCTGTTCATACTTCCTGTAGTTTATTTCTACAGACCTCATACTGAGAACCACTTGGTTCCAACAGATGAATGCAGGTCCCAGGGCTGGTGTTCCAGCACAGGACAGCCAACTCTGTATTTGACCCTCACAGCAGCACAGGACAGCCAACTCTGTATTTGACCCTCACACCTGTGTATATCAGCATTGTGTAGTTCTGCCGCTGACAGGCTGGTTCTGTAAACCCTGGGAATGCCAGCCCCTTGCTCCACAGGCACTACCCAGATGTATTTCAAGAGGATTAGTGTACCCCATCCCCTGCTGGGACACAAGGAGCCGTTAGAGTCTGCAGAGTGGAGACTAACTGCAGTCCCTGTGCATTCCAGAGACAGCCCCAGGTGGGGTGTTCCTGCCGTCCCCTGCCAGTCACCCTCAGCCCTGACACCCTCGGAGACCAATGGCAGCGGGTGTAGCAGCAGCACACGTACAAACCCCCACTGACAGGAGAAGTGAAGCATTCCCAAGCTTCCAACACTGGAACCCTGCTCCCCCTCCTCAGCTCAGTCGCTCGTTACAGGAGAAGGGGCCAGCGAGAAGCAGGCGGGAGGAGATGAGGTCAGCAGCCCAGCTTGCCTCATTTCACAGACTGAGGTGCCCTTTGCTTTTGCTAAACCGCTCTGGAGCTGAAGCTTAGTCAGCTTTTCCGCACGCAGTTCTGAGCGAGCCAGGAGAAAACTGGCTGCAGTCAGAGCTCCGAAAGCCGGGCAGGGTGCAGAATTCCCCTCCATCACCAGAGGGTGCTGCCTGCGGGCTGGCCAGGTGATGGAACCCTGGCCCGGCCACTTCGCAGGCTGGGCAGGACGCCCGGGGCCGCCCCGCACACACCGGCCATGGAACCAGCCCAGACACAGCCGAGGCAGCAGCACCCGCGGCACAGGCAGCTCCGGCCCCGTGCCCCTACTCCGTTCTCAACTTCTGTTGTAGGGAGGGAAAACGTAAAAGAAGGAAAAAGCAGCTCAAGGGAAATACAACATCCTGAGGAGGGAGATGTACGGTCAGTGTACTGCAGTATAACGTAAGATGAAAAACCAGGTAAAGACAGTCAGTGTGTTCAACATACACCGAAGGAGGATAGAGGGAGAGAGAAGGAAGTTACCTGTCCATGGGTAAGCTTCCAACCCTAAAAAGTGAGCACTGTAGGAAATTGGAGGCCAAAGAGGGATGCTTCCAGTTTAAACAGAAAAACTATCAGCCAACTAGATATTGTTTTAAGCCGCTGTAGTCTCTTCCTCACCAACTTTATAGGGTTGGCATTTCTAGATGGCTAAAAGCAGCAACTGCTACTGTCACTGAGAAGAGCAGGAGGTGGGATTATCAATTCCACAGCTCTCTAACACAAGATGGTGAGAAAGGAATATCTCAAAGAGAGGCATCCCAACAGCTTAGAAGCCAGTGCTTCCTAACAGGGAACACTGGGAAGCACTATCAGGAGGGGTGGGGGTTCGATGGGATACTGTAAGTGGAGTTGTACATGCAGAGAAAACAAAAGCTGCAGAGAAAGACTCCTCCCCCCCTTTCTTCTTTTGATAAATATTTTAAGTGAATGCTGCAAACTTACCAGCTTTAAAGCTGAGCTCATCTTGCTCTTGGCCCTCATAGTCATAGAGTGCACGTACTCTCACCTCCATGGCAGGAGAGGTATCTTCATCGAAGGGATTGGTGTCTCCATTGGCATCAGTAGAAGAGAAGGGATTGTTGGACTCTTCATCAGACCAATCTGTAGGGTAGCTTTGGTTTTTTTCATAGCTGCTAACACTGAAAACAATTTTTAAATTATTATTTTCTGATCTTAAAATAGGAGACTATAAATACCACTAAGATATCAGTTGCCCCAATTAAGCTTGAACTTCACTCTAAGGCCCATCTTTGAAACTATTTCTGGTATCTTCTCACCTATCTTTAGCTGACAATGCCTCATTCAAAAAAAAAAAAAAAGCAGCAAGCATTCTTGCAATACATTTACAAAGTTGGAAAAAGGCAGGGGAAAAAAAGATAAAAAGACAACCTCCCCAAACTTCAAAAACTTCTCTATCAAGAAATCTATATAATCCATGGGATTTCTTACTCTAGAAAGGTGAAAGGTGTGCAGGTAGTAGATGAGAGGAGTTAACTGGTTAGGGTAAGACATTTCAATGGCTTTTCAGAACTTTCCTCCCAAATCTCTCTGCACCCCTACAATGGCTTTCCACACTTTTTGTATGTTGCAATCCCCTAATAAAGAAACTTCATTATACTGCAACAACTCGATCATTTAAAGAAGAGTTCACTGTTGAGCATGCACATGCCATTTAGGAGTGTCATGACATCCCTGTGTGCATACTGAAGCAACAGGCAGCTGTTGGAGAAGGTCCTAAATAAAAAGAAAGCAACTGTAAAGCAGATTTATTCAGCGAGAATACACAGAGCACTAAAGCTCCAGAACCCGTTTCACTAGAAAAAACCCACCAGTTTTAACACTTTATAGGACTGGTAAAGGAATGAAAAAAGCAACAGCAGTTCTGTTAGCAACTGCCAATAACCCCAGGAGTTTCAAACCAAAGATCAAGGCAACAGATATGGCCTCTGTTAGGAAAGACAAGTCAGGTTACAGAGTTGCTTGTACAACCGCTGGGAAGGGTTCATGCACTGACCGGCGCATGTTACAGAAACCAAAACCAGAGAGCCCTGGATAGAGAAAGTGCAAGTGTGAAAACAATTAAAAAACAACATTTCACCAACTTTTTGATCTTATTGTCCTCCTTTTCACTGACAGTACTCCCAGTATCTTCTTCATCTTCAAAGGGATTGTAACTTGATTGTACTGACTGCACTGTGTTACTCTGGACACTAAGACTGCTAATTTGGAAAAGAAAGAGCATTATGGTGACCCTATCTGTTTAAGAGTAAAACACTGTCATTGGTGTCCCACAAAGTTTCTTACCAGACCCCTTTTCCAGCAAAAAACAACAACCCCAAACCAACCGAACAAACCCCCAAACATCCAGTGTAGCATAAGACCCAAGAAAGTTCGGAAAGTCTCACATTCCTCCAGAATTAGACTATCCTCCGTGGACCACAATTTCTTTTCCTTACTGCCTGCAATAAAAGTGCGATTTTTCTAGGCAGTTTCATTCCTTTCTAAAGCAGCTGATGTCAACAGTTTTGTATTAATCACATCCAGAATTCTGAAGTGACTAAGCGTTTTGCAATCTAAGATTTCAAAGCATAACTCTGATTTCTAAAGATAGGAAGATAGCAACAGACTAACTACCACATGAGCTACAGAAAGTTCAGTTTCTCAGGGAGTTTGGTTTCTTTTAATTCCCAATGGAAAGAGAACTATAAAATGGAGAGTAATTCCCAAAATATTGTGAGCTGCAGAAACATCACAAAAATTGCTCACAGATAATTAACATTTGGTTGGACAGTGACTTTCTTGTCCTGTAGAGCTTAGTGTACTTGACAGTAACGATCCCTTCCAATTAGTCTTTTTAGGCATAGAAAAAAAATACCTGCTGTGTTTGTTAGGCTGTGACACTTGATCTCCCGTCTGATTGATCCCAGTCAGAGTCACTCCATCAGAAGCCTTCTTCTTTTCTCTTCTGCTGAGTGTGCGATTCAGATCCGCAGACCACTCCTACCAATGAGTGCAGAATGTGACTGAGAATTTGAACAGTTATCACATTTAACTTTCAGACTGTGTTATGGAACACACGTTTCTACATAAAACAGTACAAATAATTATTAAAAATATAAACTACTCTGCTTCAGTTATAGCTCTCATCTAGCTCCCAGCCCAGTAACGCAGAGAGCTATCTGTGCTCCCTGCAAAACCCCAGGGGTACCTGGGCTTCCCTGATCAGTGTCCTGAACACCGTAAAATGACTTGGAACACCAGAGAGCTGGCAGACAACTGGAGAAATCAAAAGAACTGACCAGTGCAACTCTAAAAACTGTATTAAGAGGGCTCCCTGTTTCAAATAATGCTAAGACATCTGGATTTAAGAGGTAAATCTTTCATTTGATTTAAAAACGTATTATAGTCTAAGACAGGCCTTACTTCAGGAAGGATGACCTACAAAGCAGCTCATTTTAAAACTCATTGTATCACATTTCTCCTGTCCCTAAGACTGGAGCCCTCAAGGTACTTCACTCTAGATTTAGTGGAATTTATTGTCCTTAAAAGCCACCCATAAGAGTTAAGGCTCCACACAACTGTTGACAAGAGTGGTGATGGTGTCCGTAATCTTCTCCTTGATGTCTGGAGCCACTCAGATGTTTCAGAAGGCAGATGGAAAGGCAGGATGAGACCTCACAGCAATTTCTACCTATCAAGTCAAATTAAGCTGCAGACTGATACAGAGCAGGAACCAGAGAACTAACTGGATGCAAGTAAATATCCAATGCTGAAACATGTTTCATCTCAGAAGCCTTAAAGATACAAAAAGTCAGGAAATAAATGCTATCTTTTGTATAGCAAACCAAGATAAGTATTTTTAACAGGAACTGAAGATTTTGTGAGTTCCTGTTACTACTAGTTCATACATGTAGCACAGTCAAAGTGATTTCTAGCCAACTTTTCAAATACCTCACTATTTTAACTTTGTACAAATACATACTGGATTTCTGAGTTACCATAGTTTAAAGACTACTGACCTAAGCATATCTGCAGTTTATAATGTAATTTCATATTCATTTGATCATGACCTTTTTTTACTTACATCATCCTTGTAGCATGTAAGTGAGAAAAAAAAATTATTAGAAAAATAGTAGCAACAGTATTTAATCTGTTAGTTATAAGGCTTATAAAAGATGGTAATTTCCCCACACAGAAGTAACTGTAGTTCAGCATTTCAGGCAAAGAAATCCTGCAGTACTGTTACGAGTCTTCTTCCTCAAACCTTCTAATCTGAAGTTACTCAGAATTTCAAGAACAAGTTATATTTTCCATTATGGTTAATAAGGGAACAGTGAACACTCCAGAGTTGATGCTTCCACTCCACTAATCCAATGCCTAGAAATTTTTTAAACTAAACCTACGATTCTGGCCAAACCCATCCCAGTTACAGCTATTTGATACTCATAGTATGATCTGCACGGATACATTTTGGTACTTGTTTCTTGTAGGCTAAGCTAGCAGAATACTCCTTAAACTCCTTTCTTTTGAAGATGTCATTCAGCTATAAAATTACCAACTATTCAAAAGTGGAACTTTAACATAACAGTACTGAAAAAACTAGTTAAAAGTTATAAATACCAATTTTCAGGACCAACTGAAGTGTTTAGTTCAACTTTTTGCTGCCTACACTATAATTACATGCTAACAGCAAGGAGATTCGAACTGAATTCTGACACCAGAGGGGAGAAGTAAAACATAGAATATCACAGACAGGTGTCAGAAGTGTTTCAACTAAACAACAGCTTACTAATGACTTCAGTAATGACTCTAGCTTAAAAAAAAATATCACTACAGAGTTTTCTGTTTTACTCCTTTTCCCTTTAAAGAGCTGCTTGATATAATCACCTCCAAATGTTGGAGGAATGAGGAGAGTCCAATGGAAATCAGAAAAGAAAACTACTATGACTTGTAAAAAAAGAAAAAAAAAATCACTGCTAGAAGCCTGAATTTAAGAGTTATACCAGAAAGGAATATGACAAGAAGCAAAAAGGAAAAAACAGACAAAACAAGTCTGGGTTTTAAGTACTCTGCCTTACCTCAAACTGAGGCCAATTCATTGACATCCCGGGACCCTGATTAGCTCTGAACCACCGCAAGTCTTCAACAGCATCTGCTGTTTTGATGTTCTGTTCCAGTTCATGGTAGATGTTTTTATAACTGCAAAACAAATTTGCCTTCAAATTTAGTATAACATTTCAAAACATGGCAAATCCCCTAGTCAGATTTTTTAAAAAATTACTTCAAAGTTCACAAGTGTTGAAAAAACCTTACAGCAAGACAGACTTTAAGATTGACAGACCTATTAGCTGTCTGTAAAAGCAAGAGTAGTCCAACAAGTAAGTTTACTGAAAATTCACAAAAACATAAAATCCTTATTTGCCAGATTTTAGAATTATGACTCGCATAAGGTAACTTAATTGGCTGTCACTAAGTGTAAGATTCATGTAGGATTGTATTTAAATTACTGAACACCAGTCTCGAAGTTTCTTGAATTTAAAAGTGTGTGTACAAGACAATAGAAACTGTTTGTGATAAATGTGCAACATTCTGTGAAAACTCCTGTCTTAATCCAAGAAGGATCATAAGTCATTATAAAAACAGAAATCTCAAACCTGAAGTAGTATTAAGTGGGTTAAACATTTTCCTGTGCAGGTATAATATCTGCTAACTGCTTTTGGTGTTGTAGGTACTCTGTGATTTTACTAATGGTACCATTTATACAAAATATGAAACACTACAAAAGAGAACCTTACTATTTTTATTATCTCTTAGTCTAATTGTTTTTCATTAAAGTTGAGCTCTCATAACTATGAAGTATTTTACAGAGGTCACACTGCAGATACAACTTCAGTCCCTGCTCCTAGACCATGCACATAACGTATTTGCTCTACAGACTGTGACTACAAATACAATTGTTTTATACCAAAAACCCAATATATAACTTAGAGTACAAAGAGGTCTTAATACAATAGCTGCAGGGCTTACAGTAAGAGAATACAGACCAGCAGTTCTGTGTCAAGCCAGAGAACCTGGGGAAATCCTTCCAGAGTCACACAAAATTTAGAATTAGAATTCATTAATGCTACTTTGTCAGTCATATTTTCTCAACATATACTCCCAAATTTGTCAATTACTGTATAGTACTGACTGCTTTAGCATGTACGCAGCGTGGGGTTTTTCTCCTCGGTGTTTCTTTGGAGGTATTTAAGCAATAGGAAGGCATGTATTTTGAGAAAGGGATTAACTACTTTTGAATGACTCACTAGTCGTCAGTTAAGGCAGTGAGAAACTGGAGGTCTATCTGTAGAAAACAGGCAGGGCTGTTTTCTGGACCGCTCTTCGGCATTAGTAATCTTGAGAAAGTTAAAAATCAGACTTCCTGTAGGGGGTTTATTCTACACTTTTTATCTCTGTGTATTAGAAAAAGCAGAGATAAACAGCGACAGTTGCTTTATCCCTAGTTTTATCCTAATAGTTGTTTCCTTTATTTGCACTTTATTAACATATCATAAGACACTAATTCTGGACCTCCTAAGTATCTTAAAAGGAAATGATTGCTTCTCCTCCACTTGGTCATCTTCTGTAGCCTTCCCCCAACCTTGTCCTTTAAGTCAACTCATTTATTTCTGTTCTGTAGGTGTTTTTCGACCCGATTTAACTGAATTCAAAGGGACAGCAATCCTAATAATCTACTTGGAGTAAAAAGAGCCTCCCACAGCAGTTCCATAAGAACTCTGAAGCAATGCAAAATTATAAAGATGCTAAAATAAGTGATCTTGCCCTTACCTGTTGCTTGCTGTTGCCCCTGTGTCACCCCCTTTGCTTATGGCAGCACTGGCATTCAGGGTTAAAACCAAACTAGATTCTTCTTGCCCTAGGTTACCCTGACCAGCTCCTCCGACTGCCATCAGAGTGCTGTCACTGGCAGAAGAGGGACAGAAGCGAGCAGCCAGCCAGGAGCACACTTGTCTCCTTTTAGCTGAGGTGCCCAGGGCACACATGGAACGCTGCTGTTCCAAGTGGGATGTGAAAAGCCACTAGTGTTACAGCAGCTGCTACAAGTATCCAGTGTCCGCCTTCTCAAATCAGAACAAACCCATTCTAAACCGCTGTCTTGCTGACATACTGGCGTAGCCTAGAACCAAAATGGCCTGTAGCCGTTGATGACGTGCCACAGCCTGACCAAATAAACTGTATGAGCTCTGCTCTGAGCTCCCGAGCAGCAGCTTACGTTTATTGGAATGTAGTCAGGAGGGTCCAGGGAGAGAGAAAAAGACATGCTTTATAGATACTGCAGTATAAAAAGCAGACCAAGATGGACAAGACTTCAGCAACAGTCAACCAATGGATCATTAACATTCATCCCTTAGTTTAGGTAATTCCTTTAGACTAAGCTCTCATATTTTAACAATAGATGTGTTTATGCTACAGAGTTCATGCTGTCTTACACTAATAAATTCTAGCCTGTTCTCCAATAAACATGCAAGACACACAATATACCAAACCCCTCCCTTCCCCAGTCTTTGCTCCAGCGTTTTTAAGCTCTGAATCCTTTCTAATTGGCACACACTTGATTATAAAAATACAACGAGAATGAGGGTTTCTTGGTTCATTTAACACTGTTAAATAAAACTAGCAAATGTTAGGGATAGATGTTAATCTCACTTTAGACAAAACAAAGAATTAAGCTCTTTCACTTACACTTTAAACAAACTGAAGCAACACATTAGAAACAAATCAGATTCCAAATCCTGATCTACTTGAAGTATAGATTACTTTCCACTGAAAAGTATTAGCATTAATTTTGAAGTCTTACACAGTTTTACCTTGCAACATTAGACAAGTCAAGGTGTTTTTGAACTTCCAGTAACACTTCTCGAAAGAAACGTAAGCGTTTTTCCTCAAACTGCTGACATTGTTCAAATACCTGCTCCATGTTCTCCATATACTGAGGAGTGGCATTATCTAATTCTTTCAGTGATTTTTCATACTTTTCTTTTGTCTGGGGGTGGAAAAACAAACAATTAGCAATATATTTTATTACTACCCTAGATAACAGACTCATCAATGTAGTAAGATTTGGACCCGAAGTTCCCGAACTGCCTTCTCTTTTCCTGACCGCAGTACCTACGTCGGGTCACAAGGAGAGTTAGAGCAGAACTGCAGAGCAGTTACAAGAAACTTCGAAGCCTCTTCTTTGCCTTTTTAACAGAAACCATGAGAAACGTTAACATAATACTAAAAGATAAAAATCAAAGGAGCCACAGAGTAAATCAGAGCAGACAGCCTTTCTAGTTACAGGTCCTGCATAAAGACCTCAGAACAATTTCCAAGTGTTGGCTTTTCCCCTTCAGTAATCTACGCAATCCACTGTGAGTTATGACCAAAAAAGCCAAACACTGTATACATCTATCCCCATGCACACAAGCTGCATATGCTGTGAGCCTGGAGAACAGAGAGAACCTCAGACTCTACACTAATTTACAGAAGTAATCCAGAGGCAGAAATTAAAAGATCCACGCGATGCAACACCAGCCTTCCAGAGCACAGAACAGCGTTCTCAGAGGGAACAGATGTCTTCCAAGTCAGTCACACAAGAAAAGCCTTTTGAGCAGCCCGCTAGAGGGAAACCAAACTGGGCAACAGAATGGCATTTCCATATTAACTTTTATTTAAATGGATTGTTTCAGGTTACTTTCTTAAAAAATAAATTCTGCCGCCAAGAATGACTACAAGGTTAGGTGCTGTCAGCAGGCTTTAAGCATCTTGCTCACAGCCTCTCAAGTGAAACAACTCAACTCTCACTGCTAAAGGAGTACAACTCTGCCCCAGAAGTCTGCTGTGTTCCCTGCTGGAAAGTACTTACGTGAAGTAGAGGCAATACCTCATCCCTTCTTCACGGGAGAACCTGGTAATGAGTCTGCTTTGGACAGAGCTCTAGGCTTTGCTGTAGGACCACCACTGAAAGCCCACAGCACATTAAGGAAGAAAAAAGTTTAAATATGCACAAGCCAGAGGTTAAAACTACTGCACATTAACAGTGCTCCCATACAGTGTACCTTCAGCACATCTTGTTTGCTTCTCTCCACTTTGTCTTGTAATTTCTTAAGCTGTTCAGGATTTAGTGCTGGATCAGCTTTGCTGTTTGTTTCTCTAGATATAGCCAGTTTCTCCTCTTTGCAGGCCGCATGGTATGCTTTCTTTGCAGCTTCCACCTACAAAGCAGATTTAAATCTTTGCATCTGGGACAGTTTATACAACAACCATGAACTGAATTGTTTAGCCTTATAATCATGTTGCAACGAAGAAAGTGTCAAGTTGTTTCAGGATGTTCCTTTTTAAAATTTTTTTTCTCTCTCTCATTTGGGCCAAGGAATGAGCAATATGTAAGAGCCAAAGTAAGGAAATTACTGTAGTACTTATGAATCAGCACTGTCTCACCATACAAGAAATGTCACTCATACAGCTCAGAGAAGTGTGGAACAGACTCAAGAAAAGGTTTACAGAAAGTGCCCAATAGAACATTTTAATCTCATGCCCATGTTCTCCTGCTCCCCTTCTACAAGCCTGTTATTTAAGAATAACATTGCATGACAAGGAAAAAAACCATAAACACTTTTCCCCCCACTCATTTCTTTGAGCAGTTTGTGACTTTCAAATGCATGAAATCAGATATTGTTAAAATGATAGCTTAAATTCCAGTTTTTCCAGATTTTCACTGAAGTCATCAAGATTAGCAGACACGAAGAGAAAAACACTTATTTTCAGAAGAGGACAGAAAGCAAGAGATCTTTTTGAGAAAGGAGGGTCCAGCAGAGAGAATAGGGAGTCTACTCCCTTATAGAGATTTGAGACATTAATATACTGTAACACAGGATATCTAATACATAATCTACTGCTGTACCTCTTTCAGCTTTTTTGCCCAGGGTTTCTGAGCTTTCCTAAATCCATCTTCTGCTTCTTTGGTTTCCTTAAATCCTCCCATCATTTGCTTATGAAAGGCTTCCTTCTGCCAGTTCTTGATTTTTTCAAAGTCTTCATTCATCAGTGAACCTTTCACTTCTAGATGTAGTTCACTCACTTTTTCAGCTTCTGACATAAAAGCACACCAAGCCCTTTCTACTGTTCCATACTGTGGGCCTAAACACAACAGAAAGTGTCATTCTCAGTAACCATCACCCACGTGGAACTTATATTCCCAAGAAACTACCTGAAGCTATTGATTTTATGCACTTGTAAACAGTAATATTAATGCAAAACTAGAAAAGGGAATTATTTTCAGATAGATTTAGAATATTGCAAGTTTTTACACCAGAGGAATTAATACTCATTTTGTCTGGCCTCCTCCTCCCTGTGCCCTGACTCAGGATTCCACCTGTTAGCTCCCCCTTGGACGGCCTTCAGCTGCTCAACACCCCTTTGGGATAACCAGGAAGGGACAAACTATTTCAGAGCATGATGGTATCAGATGAGCCTTCCATCAGAGCAGTGCCTAGCTCTTGTTATCAGCCTTTCCCCCACAACCACTGCCCCTTAGTATTCAGACACTTTTCACACTGTTCTGTACCATCAGTAACCTACAAACAGCCAGTTCTCTAGAACTGAATCTGCTTGGATACCTCCACACCAGAGGCAAGATTCATCTGCTTCTGTAAGAAACAAGCAAACTAGCAAAGGAGCAGGGCTTTCTTTTTAATCATGACAGCTTGATCACATTACATTACTGAGCCTTTTGCAAAGACTTCACTAAAGGCTAAAAAGTACAAAATTTCTACTTTGTACTTACCAAAACAGATAAAAAGAAATAATTCTTTCCATTCAAGAAAGTTTTCATCAGAAAAATCAGAAATTAAGAAAGTTTAAAATCAGAATGTATTACCTTTTTCCACAAGCTGTTTCCACCTTTTGGCCCATTCTGTAAGCTGCTGAGCATAAACCTTCTCTATTCGGGCCCGTTCATGAATGCAGTTCATGAGATCATTGCAAAGTCTGTGACCATCATCAATTCGTTTTACTGTCCGCTTGTAATTTCCAACCTACAAAGAAAGAAATACTTAACAATTGCTGCTTGAAAGCTCCAAACCCAAGATAAATCTCTGATTAACACAAATACTGTTTCCTAGGAGCAAGATAATCTACTAGTAGGAATTAATCAATTATAGCATATTTTTCAACTAATCTTAAAACCGAACTGCAATAACACCACAAAGGCCACAAGTTCTCCTGTAAAATAGTTATTAAAAGTGAAAGCTTTATTATATTTTATTAGTCCTGCAATATAATTACAGGCAGTTGTCACAATTGTTCTGCATTATTATTTCTTGATACTGTTTTAGATAATCAAGGCATTTAACACAAACACAGTTTTTTCCTCTTCCATGATTATTAAGTACCTAATGCCTTAATTTTATGCTGTGTTTAATCTTTCAGGATTAATAAAACTGCAAAGACATGCAAAGGAGTATTGCGACATCTCCATCGAGCACAGTGATAGTTTTTGTTAGAGAACACAGCATGGAGCAAGCAGAATCGCTAGAGAGCGGCTGTGCCTCCCCGGGACAAACCGCAGGGCACCTACACCAGGAGCAGACGGCAGAACTTAACCTGGGAAGATACCGACAGCAGTGACATGGAGTTCCCATACCTAGAACTAACTCGGGAATTCTACAGAAAAGAACCACAAATACTCAGTGTACAAGCTACACAAAGATGAGGATATGGAGAAAGATGCACATTATATCATGAAATTCCATTAAATAATTAACAATCCCCTTTCATTTTTGGGTACACATCAACAGGGAATCACCAGTCTAGATGACTGAAGGGGGCAGGGGGAAGCCCGATACTGCTCCCACAGTAATATTTCCACTGATTCCAAGGTCACTCTGGTTGGCTTTTGTAAACATTAAACACCACGTAAGAACTCAGTTAACAGAATTTGCACGGCCTATTAAATATCACACTCAGTTTCTTATTTGCCTGAACCACCTGACTGAAAAATAAAGATTAGCAGTAAGGCAGTAGATTAAACATTCAAATACTTAAAGCATGTTTGTAATTTTTACATTTGAATCCTACCCAATTCACATCTCGAACACAGGAAACTATCCAACTTTTAGGTTCACATTTACTCAGAACTTGTCAGCAGATGTACATACAGGCCATCTGCTTGAGAAAAAAAACTCCTCCATGTATGTAGGGAAATACTCTTAGAAGGGGAAAAACAGACATTAAGTGCTGGAACAGTAAGTGTCTATGCTGATAAATACAGACCTATGTTGGGACGCATCAAAGCTGGCAGAAAAAAATCTAAACCAGTGATGTTCCTCAGGGGTCGGGACCAGTTGAACATCTTTGCTGGGGACAGGGACAGTGGGTCGAGGCCCCCTCAGCACGTTCCCCCCGACAGCGAGCTGTGTGTGGGGGCACAGGCCGGGGGAAGGACCCAGCCAGAGGGACCTGGGCAGGCTGGAGAGGGGGGACGGGCCGACCTCAGGGGGTGCAACAAGGCCAAGGGCAAGGTCCTGCCCATGGGCCGGGGCAACCCCAGCACAAACCCAGGCTGGGCCAGGAGGGGACAGGGACAGGACCAGGGGCAACGGTTTAAACTGACAGAGGGCAGATTTAGATGAGACCTAAGGCAGAAATTCTCCCCTGTGAGGGGGGTGAGGCCCTGGCACAGGCTGTCCAGAGAAGCTGTGGCTGCCCCCTCCCTGGAAGGGTTCAAGGCCGGGTTGGATGGGGCTTTGGGCAGCCTGGGCTGGTGGAAGGTGGCCCTGCCCAGGGCAGGGGGTGGGATGGATGGGCTTTAAGGTCCCTTCCAACCTAAACCAGTCTGGGATTCTATGAGTAACTGGACAAAACCAATTCCTTTAGGCAGTACCGTCAAAGCAATCATTTGGACACATCCTTGCTTTTGGACTAGATCCATTTCAATAGGTCAAAGAAATGTAGATAGCATCTAAGAAAAGCATTAGTTAGCAGTCACTGATTCGTCTAAATAATGTAAAGAAAAAGTGCATGCAGAACTCCTGCTTTTAAACATATGTCACAGTATAATTGAAGATAAGAAGCTATCAACATAAATGAAGAAGCTGACACCAAAAATCAAGATAGTCAATGTATCCACGTCAAAACAGACTTCATCAATTAATAAGTATGAAAAAAGCCTCTCATTTTCAGCAGAAATAGAAAAGTAGACAGTTTCAAGCTAACACTGTACACTAACAAATATACATATGTAATCAAAGCATTAAGAAAACTGAATACCTCAAATACTTTCTAAAGCCTTTGTTACGGAAGGGCAAATCATTCATCTGCTCAAACTTACTGCAGCTGTAGGTCCACAGCCAAGCTGACTGTTAAAACAGGTTATGCTACTCTGGCCCAACTACCGAGACCCTGTATTAGCATCAATTTGTGTCTCCAGTTGTGTGCCCAGGGATTTGTGCGTCTAGCATGGGCATTTCCTTTCATAAATTTTCACTATTAAATTAGCATTTTAAATGCTAATATTGGATGGGAGCTGGCTAGCTCATGGGATTTTTAATGCTTTCAATTTGTGTTGTCTGAGAAAATTCTAACTCCACAGTAATATCTAGCAGTTGTCAAATCTCAGATAGAGAACGGAATTTAGCCGACTTATGTGGTCTGCTCACTATTATGCACAAGGCCACCTCTAAAGAGCTGCATGCAGACCACAGAAATAGCATCATAGAACTGGTATAAAGAAGAACCAGGCCTACAATACTATAAAATAACCAACCTGTATTCCAAAGAAAGCCTTTTATACCAGTATTTTCAAACCAAAAAAGAATTCACTTGATTTATGAGTTTAAAGTATGTTATACATCACATTTGAATTTCACGTCCTATGAGGAATGCTTGAATTTTGGAAATACAGGATTTTTCTGTACTTCATCACACAGAGAATAAACGATACACTTGGCATTTAACATTTTAAAAACCTAGCGGGTTATTTAAAAAATTGCATTTTAAGTTATGGACACTGCCATGCCAAATTTTTCCGAGAAGTGGGATGTGCAGCCACTGTGGGAGGCAGACTGGGAGGTACCAGAGCACACAAGGTATTTAGACCACAAAGCCAGGTAAAGGAAAAGAGCTCTAGCCTTTATGCAGCCAAGGAAGTACTAGGCTAACTGTAGATAAGCTACAACAATTAAAGCCCTGTAAGCACACTAAAGACACCCTGAATTCTGGAGAACAACAACATAACTTAATACATTGCTTTATTCAAGACTATTTTCTCCCATTCCCGAGGTTGACTGCACACATTCTGCTTGACCTCCCCCTTCCCCTTCCCAAGAAGTATTTGAGCTAAAACAAAAACGACAAATTCTTTTATTTGTAGCAACTGACCAGAAAAAAAAAGAAAAATCCTGTGTGTGTGTTTCTGTCAGAGCCACATTTACACAATGATTGCAATGTGCAGATGTCACCAGCAGTGTTCGGTACCCGACCATATGATTTTCTAGTTAAACCAACTCCCTGATCGTCCTGAGCACTGGGCGGTTTTCTGACAGCAGACGAAGACATGAAGCTATGAGTCCCCTTGTCCTACAAATGAAATGTTTGTTTTGGGAAGGTAAATTGTAAGATTAGAAACTTTTAGAGTTTCAAGGAGAATGAGAGCTATTTAAAAACTGTATCCTGCTTTCATTTTAGCAAGAGACATTACATGATACCAAATGCAGTTGCTGTTTACCCTGAGCTGCCAGAAAGACTTCAAAAGGAAACAATCCCAAGAGTTTATTTCTTCAAAATACTACAATGGTCACTTTCTTGATGCAATCAGTGGATTCTGTGAAAATTGCGACTCACAGCTTTGTGTCATCCCCCTCAAGTTGAGTTAGCCACCAGTTTCCCCTTTTTCCACTGGAAAAAAATACTGAGCTTTGCTACTAACAAGCCACAGCTGATCCTATTTGGCCCCATTTATCTCTTACAGGTATTACAGATGCCTTCAGATCTCCATTTTGATTAGTCAAGAAAATGTTCCTTTCCTCTCATGCATGAGCACAGCAATGTCACCTCAAATCCCCTGTCAAATCTAAGATTCAGGGAATCTGTAAAAATCAGAGAAAAGCCCCTCAAGTGCCCTGGGATGAGGCGTTTGGTATTGCAGAGTTAGCAGCAGTCACTCCCTGTGACCACCAGTGTACTAACGCAGCCAAGCACTGGCACTCCTAGGATCTTTAGTGGGAATATTTAAGAGCTTACACCCTCATTATTTTACAATTTCACAGCACTAAACACAAAGGGAGAATCTTAAATTATCTAGGCTACTTTACCTCAACTAATCAGACTTTTTTTTTTAGCATATTCTTAGGATAAGAGCCAATCAGGAGCTAAACACACTTAGCAGGTTTTTCTGGTACACTGAATGAAAAATAAGGGTATTTTAATCTGTTAGCAGCCCAGAAGGTGGCAAACGCTCAGCTATTGCTAAACTCCAGTCAGTTAATTCTAGTATATCATGACAATTGCCATAACCACAAATATTTCAGGAGTTTTAAATGCCTGAAGTAAGATTTGACATTAACTTTCTCCAAGCTTGCCGAGCTTATTCATAACTGGTCAGCCTTTATGAACTGGAACCATCTGAAAGTCAGTCACCATAGCACACAACAAGGGGTTTTTATAGGCAAATATTCATAGGCAGAGAACACAACAGAGCTTTGAAGGCTCATAGTCAAACCAATGCATACGGATGGCCAGCATGGGGACACACTATTTCCAACATTCCATTTAACCAGAAATCCTATTTTTTTCCAGCTACATCATAAAGGAAGTTTCCAAGCATTTCAACCAGCATTAACATCTGTAATACTGTGGGGTTTTTTGTAAATAAAAATAATTATCGTGGTGTATAATTAGCATGTACACAGTCCACATACCTGAGAGCACTAGCTCTGTGTAAGTTTTGTGAGTTTATCCATATAAATTCACCACTGGTAGCAAGAAAATCCCGAGGAAGCTCTTAAACCCACAAAATCTGAAGCTAAACATGCCGGTA